TATAACAGTCTGTTAGAATTTATACAAATATCTGAAATAACAAGCATTCAAATAATTACGAGTATCCAAAATAATTACAAGTATCCAAAATAATTACGAAATAAATTATATATATTCAAATATCCTTGAATAAATTGATTTTCAAATATTCGTAAAAAATTTGATTTTCGGTTAGAAACACTAGCTCTATTTTGTCTATTTATCGAGCCTATATGCTTCAAAGTTCGACTGCATTTTCAACATTTTTAGATGATATTACTAATAAAATTAAAAAAAACTCTCTGTCAGTAATTCACGAGTAGCTCACAAGTACCATCAATCTAAACCTATTATAAATATATCTTTAAATAATTTTTATGTTAAATACTTTGAGAAATCCTTCTACCTCAATAAAATAATGTCATTTTAAAATTGCATAATGGAACAGATAAAAATATTAAAATTTCTAAAGTCCAAATTTTTAATTTCTGCACTCTACCAAAAATTTGCTGGTAGAGCAATTGTTAAATAATTCCGTGTTAAAATTTCAGACATTTGTTATTAAAGGATATTTGTTAGTAGGATTTAAGTTCATCAAATAAAAATTTTATTTTTATTTTTATTTTTAAAATCGATTTTTTTTCGTTATACTGAAAATAATAAAGACGTAAAAATTTTTAAGGGCAGAAAAGGAAAAGATAATAATTTGTGTAAAAAAAAATTCCAATTTTCACAACAGCTATAATGTACCAATTACATGTTTTTAATTGCATAAAATAATTCTTTAGTTTCTAAATTAGATCTGGTGAATCAACGCCTTTTCCCATATGGATATTTATCGTGTGATTGAATTCAATCTGCGAATTTTGTTTGAATAACAACAAACAATGACAATAAACAAAGTTTTAGTGAAATTGTAATAATCGTTAGTATTGTATTGTTTATATTCAACTAGCTACAATTTAATGATTTAGTTGTGAAAATAAAATTATTTTAAAGTTTTTTACAGTTCTCCAGTTCATTAATATTTATAAACATATTATTTTCAAAAAACCAATTGATTAATCTTGGATCACATGTTCATTTTGCATTAGAATGAATTCTAAATGTTTTCGGATCCGTCAACTTGTTTTTTAATATATGGCCAAAATAAAACAAACTACAGACAGGTATCACATTTGCACACATTCTAAAACAATGTGTTTTAATTTACACAAAAA